AGTGAAAAACTATCGGCAGTCCCTCAGTGGCAAAGAATGTAGAATATGAAGTTCAAGTAAGAACTAATTAACTACCGCCAATCCCCGGCTGTTTTCCTTGATAGCTTTTAACGTAGCGGCTTCATGTTCTGTCGATGATGAAATGCGACCAAAAAAGCGGAAATACCTGAACGTATGACACCTCAATAAAAGTTTTAAAAATGCGCAAAAGCTGCATTTAACCTTAGGATTCTGAGATAATCCTCTTGAATCCGTTGTACAGCATCACCCACAAAGGCTACTCGTTTTTTCTCAACGTCTTGAATACCTCCGAAATAATCTATGACATTCCCGTCTAAGTCTGAAAGTAAGTCTTGCTTTGAAAGCATATACTTCGAAAGAAACTATGAAGACTCGGTCATAGACAGCTCATGAAAAAGCAAAACAAACACTTCTATGTTTAAATTTGTATATAATGATGAAAGCAAACTGGAGGTGTCCAATATAATTTTAAAATTTTGAATTCTCGATAAACTTTCAACACTAATCTTTGGACCCATGAATAAAGCGCTCCCTGAAACCCATAAATCTACTCTAGCATTTTGGTGCAAGAACTCGATAATTCTATTGCTTTTTTCTATTTTTTAGAATTATACTTTCCCCTTAACTTCCAGAATTCGCTGTTATAACCAAACGGCTCAACCACAATTATTTTTCGTCATCATGATAAAATGTCATGTCTTCTAGAAAAAGCTGGTCATAAAAGTAAATAGTTATTGAACAGTCAAATATAACTGTGACAATTCAAAACACAGGCTCGTGTTTGGTTATGATAAAATGGTAAGAAATGGTGAAGTCATGACGATGGAAATTCAAGACGAGGTTTTTTGCTCTCCACAAGAAACTTGTATTAGGAATTCTTGGAATAGTATCAGAATCATTACCTAAAAAGAGCGAGTTAATTGTGAGATCTCTTCTGTTTGCGTCAAGCTGCCAGTCGGTGGTATATTGTACTTGGGCGCGACGACCGTCGCAAACCAGATCTACCCTCAAAATATACGATAACAAACACAAGCCTTTATTGGTATAAATGAGATTGTTTTTTTGTTAACCTTAAAGTAGTAATTTCAAAGTTTTCCTTATCGTCTATCCGACAAGTTATGGTTCCATGTTCCTCGCCGCGTTTATGCAACATACGAACTTGCTCCTTCTCGAATAATTCCTGCAAAATGGTCACACTTAAATCTCATCGATTTAGAACGAGAAAACAACAAAGAAATTTAGACTGGGCGATCAACCACATAATCACAAAATTTCTTTTGCCAAAAAATAGAAATATGCTCACAAACTACATGAGGATTGTTAGGCTACTTTAATGGTTACTGAGAAAAGTGCGTTAACACCTTAAAATTCACAAAACCTCTTGCAGAGATATGGCTGATGAGCACAAATTCATACTTTACCTTCATTTGAGTAGGAGTCGCTGTGGTTGCAAAATCAACATCAGCTGGTCGTATTCCCATTAGTAGATCTCTTACTGCTCCACCAGCTATTCTGAATTTATATGTACCTCACGGGGTAGAATTAACGAAATAGAGGGAAAAAAGATGTGAAGTTGTTTCAAAAACCTACCTCAACTCGTAATTGTTTTTCTCAAAGAGTTGCGATAAAGTTTGAAGTTGAGGTGTGAATAACGATCTAAAACAGACACCATACGTTTTCAGTCTCATACTAAGATATCTACAGTCCTTTTATATCCGCCACCATAGTGATATTTAAAAAGCCGAATTATGCCAGTAGCCTCATGAAATTGCTACATAGGGACTTGTACTTCTTAACGGTGCATTCTAAGATAACCATAACAAAACATCTTCTCAAAATATCAAATTTGCTTTAAGGCGTGGAGGGACTATCCAGTCGAATGAACACAGACATTATATATTGCCTGACGTTTCGACGTTTCCGTCTTTTTCGAAGGCCTGAAACGGATCTTGCTTTTGATCTACTAC